TCCTTCTTCCATACCTAGACCCTCCCAAATTAGAGAATCACAACTGTGTCACACCTCTTAATTATATAGACAATAGGTAAAGCACAAAAAATAAGCTAACTTCAAGAATGTCATTCTAAGTACACCTTGCTTCATAAAATACTGTGATGTTTGTTTAATTTCCTGTCAGCTGCCCTCAGGGTTACAGCCTGCCATGAATTATTTTTCTGCATTTCTCCAATATACTGTAATCATGCCAAAACATACACATACACCTTTATGTTTATTTTATGCACAAGTTTCTTTCTGTTTGAACTATAAACTGATTTAATGAAAATGGGATCATCTTCATATGAAAAGAATTGTCTGTAGAGTCAAGAACAAACTGTACATTCAGTGCCATCCCAGTTGAAACACCTATGACTTTCTTTTCAGACATAGAAAAATTGATTGCAAAGTGTATATGGAAATACCAGAGACATCTCTCTGAACAGCTCCTTCTGCCATCTGCCACTGTCAGGACCAAAAGAGCTATTCCAGTGGTGATTCCAGTGCTTTTGTTTGTTTGTTTTTGAGAATGGCAGGGTTGATGGCCATAGGGAATGCTGCCTTAAAAACAGAGGTTCAGAATTTTAAGACATTAAGTAAATAAGTGGACCTGGATTGGGAATATTTGGAGTCTTTGGAGTCTCTATTAGAACATCAGGTGGACTCATTGGCTGAGGTAGAAGATACCCAAAATCTATCCATTTCTTCTAGATCTCTTGATTTCTTTGCACATATTTGCTTGTAATAGTTCCTGATTGTTCTATATATGTTCAACTAATCTGTTGTTATATTTCCTTTTTCATCTCTGATCTTATTGATTCATGTATTGTCTCTCCTTTAAAAAAGATTTATTACTTTTTGTTGGAAAGACAGATATACAGAGAGAAAGATCTTCCATCTACTTAGTTCACTCCTCAAAGGGGCACAATGGCAGTGCTAAGCCAATTCAAACCCAGGAGCTTCTTCTGGCTTTCCCCCTCACAGGTGCAAGGTCCTAAGGCTTTGGGCCACCCTCTACTGCTTTAACAGGCCACAGCCAAGGAACTTAATGAAAAGAGTGCCCTTATGGGGATCCTGGTGGTAGATACAAAGTGAGGATTTAGCCACTAGTCTATGGGTTGGGCCCCTCCATCCAAATCCCTTCCTTTCTCTTCCTTTCCTTCCCTTCCCCTCCCTTCCCTTCTCTTCCCTTCTCTTCCCTTCCCTTCCCTTCCCTTCCTTTCCCTTCCCTTCCTTTCCCTTCCCTTCCTTTCCCTTCCCTTTCCTTCCCTTTTCTTTCTTTTTTGATTAATTTGGCTAGTGGCTATCTATTTTGTTAATTTGCACAAAGATTCAGTGCTTTGATTCATTGCTCTTAGGAAGTGTTTTTTTTGTCTCTATTTAATTTATTTCCTTATGTTTTGTGGTTATTTCTTTTTCAAGATAACCTTGAGTTTGCTTTGTTGTTGTCTTCCTAGCTCCTTCATCTATGGATACTCTTTATATTTGGTGTTTTTTAAGTTCTTGGCATAGTATTGATTAAATTACCTTCTCTTTTTTAGATATAATTTCTTTTGTTTCTGTTCACAAAACACAGGAAGTCGTGAGGCAACACCTGTGACCCACCATCTGTCCACCTTCCAATAAATCCCCTTGTGTAGTACCAGGCTCATAGAGCCTCGGGCTGTCACTCAAATTATTCCAGCTGTGGAGTAAGGGATGAGATGGGAAGCTGGGCCCCAGGCACCAAGTCAAAATGTGATGCCCCTGCAATGCATGCTCAAGCTCACCCCTTTCAGTGAACCTTTCATAGGATGAGCCTGAGTTGGCCCCTGGCCAGCCACATACAGAAAGCCCAGCAGGAGCAGCAACTGAGAAACTCTGGCCCCAGGTCTGGTGAAGGAAGGTCAGGTTAGGCCAAGCATAAGCAGCAAAGTCGTTATTGGTTTCAAGCCAGGAGGTGGTGGGTCTTAAGGACTTCTGTGAATTTGCTGATTTTTCTGCTCCACGTTCTTTTCGACCTGTTTCCATAGCCTCATGAGCTGATTCTTCTTGCAATAATTCATCTTAGCCTTCTCCTTTCTCTTCTGCTTTAGTGTGGCTCTCACAGTCTAGTACTTCCAGCCAACTTTATGAGAGAGGTGTCTCAGATAGGCAAAATCCCTCATGGGTTTCAGGTGCACAGCTTGAGGGCTGCAGGAATCATCATCTGCCTTGGCATAGTGTGGTAGGATGCCATCGAACATGTGGAGTGCTCAAGAGTAGCCTGGCCCCTCTTAGTCTTGTGGGCTAGCATGCCTCACCATCAACCAGAAGATGTAGCTGGGAGTCTGGTAGCAGGAGGGGTTGGTATTCATCTGCTTGTGCAAGAAAGCCAGATATTTCAACTGGTTTCTGAAGAAATTGCCATAGGTATGAATGCCCTCACTTGCAAAACCACCACCTAGAGGCCTTGATTGTGTCCCATAAGTTTTGATATGGTGTATTGATGCCTTGATTTGTTTCAAGCAATTTTTTGTTTCCTCTCTGATTTCTTCCATAACACACTGTTCATTTAACAAAATACTCTATAATCTCCATGTATTTGCAAATCTTGTTGAGCATTTTGACTTGCTGGTTTCCAGTTTTACATCATGATAATCTGAGAAGCTTGTGTGATTTTGATATTTTAACTTTGCCAAAGCTAGCCTACTTAGGGTGGCCTATAACTTGATCAATCATACTGATTATACATATATAACATGCATGTTTTAAATATTTAATATAGATATAATTTTATATATTCATAATTATATTATATATACAATAAAGAAAAATAATATATATATACTTGCATATCCTTATATGTTATATGAATATATATAGTTTATATTTATACATAACTTTATCAATATTATACATTTATAAACTCATACAAAATATGTTATGTTTATCTTCTTAATTATATTTCATTAAATTACCACATATTTTTGTATCAATTATATATATATTTAAATTTTATTCACTTTATTCATATTTACCATGAAGATATAAATCTAACAATTAACATATATTAATCAATGCATCATACTGATTTCTATAAATATGTTTATATAATCTATATTATATTTATATGAATTTTAAATAAATATAATATTAGGGAATATAAATCTAAAATATATAGTTTATCTATACATAAATGCATTAATATAATCAATTATGTCAATATTATTACATTTGTTATATTTTATATTCCTAAATGAATATATAATAATGCATATCACATATACTGCATAAACTATTATCTTATATTTAGCATATACATATCTATATTGATAATATTATATTAAGAATATTAATAAGATATTTAATATACTATAATATATAGGATATACTGCACATTAATAAATTAATTATTATTAAACTGTGCATCTATGATTAAAATATAATTTAATATAAGTATAAATACATATATGAATACATAGCTAAATAGAATAGATATACATGTATATAAATATATAAGGCATAGATATTAGTTTATAAATATACAATGTATAATGCATACTGATTTTATATGAAGTGTTTGCACGATGATCAGTTCTGTAAATATTAAGTTCATTTATTCTATTGTCTGCGTAAGTTCTGTTGTTGCGTTACTGATATTCTGTCTCATAGACCTTTCAACTGAAGTTAATGGGGTGTTAACATATCCCACTATTATTGTATCAAAGTCAATTTTTCACTTTAAATCCATTCATATTTTTGTCACATAGCTAGGTGTTCTGGCATTTGGTGCATACACATTTATTATGGTGATTTCTTCTTTATGATTGATTCCTTGGATCGTGATGTGGTGTCCTACTTCAACTGTTTTAGTGCTTTTCATGTAAAATTCTATGTTATCTGAAATAAGAATGGTGGCACCAGCTCCTTTTCCCTTTCCATTAGCCCAGAATATTCTTTCACATCCTTTCACCATCAGTTTCCATAAATTTTTGTTGGTGAGATTTGTTTCCTATGGGCAACACATAGATGCCTTTTGCTTTCTGATACAGTCCACTATGTATGAAATTTGGGTGATGAGTTTAATCCATTTACATTCAGAATTCATTGTTGCATTGCATTGTTCTTTTGTTTAGTCTTCTCTAATCAGTTACTGGGCCATTGTTCACATATTCCATTGAATTTTGGAGGTACCATTCTTTTTCTCTGTCAGGAGGATATCTTTAGTTACTTTTGTAGAGCAGGTTTTACATACAAGATAGTTGATGTGCAGACTTTGAGATTTTGTTTGCTGTGGATGAATTTTCTTTCATTTTTGAAAGCAAAGGAAAGATTTGCTGGATAAATTTTTTTGGGCTGACAACTTTTTCCTATTAGAATCTGGAATATGTCACTCCATTTGCTTCTGGCCCAGAGTTTTCCTTGAGAGGTCAGCTGTGAGTCTGATTGGACTCCTCTTACAAGGGATCTGATTTTTCACATGCATGTTCAAGAATCGTTGCTTTATGTTTGGCCAATGAGAACCTGAGTATCACGTGTCAGAGCAAGGACTGCTTTTGGTCAAATCTAATGGAAGTTCTTTGGCCCTCTTCTAGTTTATTTCCCACTACTTTATCTGTATCAGACAATTTTCCATTCATCATAACACTGAACACCTCTTTAACCCAGCTTCTCTTTTTGTGCTTTTTAGCACTCCTCAAAATCTTACATTCAATATTTTCACAGTATTCCTTAATTTTTCAATGCTTTAATTGGCTTAGCTCAGTTCTTCCAGCACTTGTATTATATCCAAATTATGGCAAGAAACATCCTCCAATTGTGAGATTCTTTCTTCTGCCTCGCTCATTCCCTTATTGAGTCTCTCCACTGACTCTTTACTTTCCTGTGTCCTGAACTTCATTCTTAACAATTCGGTGTGGTTTTGTTTCCATGTTGCTACTTTCTGGGTAACATATTCCTCAAACTCCTGTATGTGTGTCATGTTGTTTTAAAGAAGATTTATAACTTTTTTTTTAATCTTTATCTGGCAGTTCTTTCATGTCTTCCTCAGTTAACTCTGAGGTTGACATAGGAATTTGCTTCTCTGCAGAGAACGTGTCAGTAACCTTATGCCTTGTGCTTATGTGTCTTCTTTTTGCCCTTGGTCACTGGAACTTTGATTAGCAAAATTCTTTTTGTGGCCAATTTTCTTTGTTTTAAAATATTTATTTATTTTTATTACAAAGTCAGATATACAGAGAGGAGAAGAGACAGAGAGGAAGATCTTCCGTCCAATGATTTACTCCCCAAGTGAGTGCAACGGCCAATGCTATGCCAATCCGAAGCCAGGAGCCAGGAACTTCTTCTGGGTCTCCCACGCGGGTGCAGAATCCCAAGGCTTTGGGTCGTCCTCAACTGCTTTCCCAGGCCACAAGCAGGGAGCTGGATGGGAAGTGGAGCTGCCAGGATTAGAACCGGCGTTCATATGGGATCCCAGGGTGCATTCAAGGCGAGGACTTTAGCCTCTAGTCCACACCGCCTGGCCCTTATGGCAACTTTTCTAAGATCATTGTGTTGCCCAGCATGTTACAGATGCCTATTTTCAAATTGTTTATTTTAGAAAACGTGGCCAACTACATTCATCATACATGCTTTTCCTAAATCCTGGTTGAGAAATATATTGTCGGTTACAATTACATCAAGGTTTTCAGTTACTTTGCAGTACATTAGTGATTTAAACAACCCAGTTCTTCTGTGTGCTCAGCAATAGATTATCTATGTTGGGGTTTTAACCTTGATAAAATGTTGAATTCCATACATGTTGAATGTGTGTTATTCTTAGTTTTGTACTGTATCATTTTGACAACTCAGGAGTGACTTGCTTGCCCTCAAATCTCAGTTACAAACTCAGTCTAAAGCAATACCTTCCTCCCCACCCCTCAAGATGTTTTGATCTTATCTTACCAATCTGCATATTATAACTTTGACAAGTACAGTTTAATTTTTCATTATAAATTTATTTTAGTCTTAATGCTTACATGGTTGAAAAGGATTTATGCCCATTTGGACCACCAATTAGGATGGGAAGCCACAAGAAATGGGATAAAGTGGATGAGCTAACTGCTTCCCATCTTCCTTTCAATTCCTCCTGCATCTTGGTGAAAGCAAGGATGAGGAAGAGAACGTCTTTCCCAGCTCCCTAGCTTCACCAGCAAATAAGAATGTGGGAACACACATTTGCATGGGGAGCAGGTTTATTCCATCACATTGGGCATGGGGAGCACTGGGTACAGGAGCGGAACACACAGTGGCCACTGTATTGTGGTTGCCGCCGTCTGTGGGAACATCTAAGAGTCAGAAGAAAAAATTAAAAATGTGATGACAGCAGTTCCCAGAAGTTCAGCGGGAGCTTTGTGCCCATGGATCCAGAAGCCTTTGGCGGCAGGAGCCTCAACTGAGGAGAAAATGCTGGTACTGGCTGTCATTCAAGGCAGAAACAGCTTCTGGAACAGTCTACAATGTGTTTCTGGAACTTTCTAGGAAAGGTTTTTGTCACTTGTGGAAGGCATTGCCTTCGGGAACGTTCCAGAAGGAACTTGTTGGTCCTTCAACCAGCACCTGCTGCTCAGCTCACATGTCTCCAAGGCCCCTTTGAGCAGCTCCACCCACACCGATCTGGACTGACCTGCCCCAGCCCCACATGAGTGTCAACTCACCGGGATTTGTCCAGGTGGTCACTGTGGGCAAGTGTCTGCAGGGAAGACATGTGTGCCACATCAGCCCCGCCCCTGACAGCCCCTGCCCTGTGCGGGAGGGCTTTGTCAAGGCAGCTCACCATGTGATGCCACTTGCTGGATGCTCCCTCGGGAGATGCTGTTGGCGTCGGTGACATCTGCATATGACGCACTCTGTGTGTCACTTAGCTGGCCACCCTGGGCTGCAATGGGTGCAGGTAGAGCATGTAAGTCAGACCTCAGCCATGACAGACTACTGGGGACCCACTGGTCACTGCAGGTCCCGCCAACCCTGACCCGTCTCAGCCATAGAGGGTGAAACCTCACCAATGATGCTCTGTCGTGAATATGCCAACCAAGTATCATGGATATGGAGATGAGTGCATGGTTATCGAAACAAGACTGTGACTATGCACGTGAGGGTCATGAAAACACGGGTGAGTGGGATGGATGTTCAAAGGAGCAGAAAGAATCGTCAAATCAAGGCTTTGTGGTATACCAAAAAAAACCATGGGCGTGCTAATGAAGCTGTGAATTGAGGCCCTGAATACTCAAGTGAGGGACCTGAGTACGCAGATTATAGATTTGCATATGTGAGTGGGGTTTATGAATACACAGGTAAGGCGGTAGCCAGACTCACCCAGGGCCACGGTCATGTGGGTGTCCTGTCCATTGGCGTCCACGTTGTGGTTGTAGAAGACAATGAAGCCAGGCTTCTGCACCAGGAAGTGGTAGTAGTTCTGCCCAGAGTCTGTGAGGGACGCACACAGTGACCAATCCCGGCAGTTGGGGGACAGGGTTACAGGGGGGCTGCCCACCCTAACTCCAGAACCCGACCTGAGCCTGGGGTACCGAGTCACTCACACTCGCTCTGGTAGTTGCCATCTGAACCCTTCTCGCCCACGACTGTGTGCAGGACGCAGCGGCCAGCCTCCCTGCAGGGGTTTGGGGTGTGGCATGAGGTGTCAGTCCCCCAGATCTCCACGGGACTGTGCTGGGTGGCTCCCTCCAGCACATCAACCATAGAAATCGCGAAGGCAACCAAGGGAAATCAACCTCCAACACCTCAATCACTAACATTTCCCTGGCGACCCTGGCAGATCTTCTCACCACTCTGCCTTTCAGGTGATATTTCTCTACCCCCGCCCCCGCCCCCACAATCTCCCAGCGTGCCCCGGGAGCATGCCCACTTGGTGTAGAAGCTCAGGGTGATGGTCTGGCAGCCGGCCCCAGCGCAGTCAATCGTCCGGAAGAAGGGTCGCAGAGGCCCGCCATCACCCGTCTTGGACGGGTTATCTGAGGCCACAGCCTGGGTAGCCCAGGAGCCGGTCACCTGCGGGGGAAGCCAATGCACTTGTCCCTTTGTCCTCCTGCCCGCCAGCCCTGCACCCTGCCTGCCAATCCACGCAACGTCCACGAAGACCACTGTAGACCTGTCCATCACACATGGGAAAGCAAGGTCACTCCAGCAGCCCCGGGGCCAGGGATCACCTCTGCCGAGTTCACGTCTGCCCGAACTGCGGCCAGCACGAGGGCGAGGAAGAGCAGCACAGCCTTGGTCGTCATCATCTTCATCATCACCAGTTGTTGAGACTCAGACTGATGAAGCAGCCGCCCCCTTTTATACCGGCGCCCATTCATCACGTGGGCTGTGGCTGAGCCTCTGCAAATATCCTGGTTGGACCACAAGGCTTGCCAATCGTGTAGGGCTGGGTTAATGTTCTGCAAACATCCTGGTTGGCCATTGCCAAGCAAGCCTGAGGATGGACCAGCACTGCCCTCCCCTGTGTGCAAATATTTGACCTTTGGCTTATGGGCATCACCCTGAGAGAAGGGGAAAGGTCCCGGTCATAGGGTCACAGCGGGCACCATGGAGAAAAACGTGTGTGCAGGGGTGTGACCCCAGGTATTCTCAGGGTCACGACCATCATGGATTCCCCCATGGCCCTCTTTCGACCTTGCAGACCATTCTCAGATATTCCCAAACTTCCATAACAATGCGTAACATTCTGAAAGAACATTCTGAGAAAGTCTTTCTCTTCCCAGACATGCTTCCACAGTCTCTGTAGTTCAGAACATTCTGAAAGATTCTCTGTTTTCCAGGACATTGGGAAAGAGTCTTTCTCTCCTGGAACATTCTGAAAGATTTGCTGCTTTCTGGGACCTTGATTTGCGCCCTGGGTACCCAGCCTTCCCCTCACTGGCTCCACACTGACTTCCTCATGACCAGTGCTGTGACCACATCAGACCAAGGCTCTGCTGTGGACAGGTCCAGAAACAATTGCAGACACTGGCTCTTCTGGGGTGATGGCTGCCCCATCTGCTTGCTGCGTGACTGTTTGGACGAGTTGGCTTCATGCACAGCCGAGTGAGCGACAATGACCTTTATATTCTGCCGTGGCTGACAAAGGTGTAAGGCTACATGAAGGATATGACAGTGCATCGTAACCTGCAGAGTATTGCTGTTACCATAATATAGAATAGATTGCAGAATGCATCGAGTAAGTACCCAGGCTGTGTTGTCGGTGAAATCTTGGTAAACGGCAATTCTAATTTCGAATGTGTCGATCAGTGAATCGTGGAGAGATTTCCCCTTATTTTGGGTTGTACAATATGCAGCAATTCAGAACTGTGTGTCTATCAAAACCACTTGAACAGTGCCCTCGAATCATTCCCAATGTTTGGAATCCTTGGATGGGTGTAATGTTAATTTTGGCTTCTCCCCTTATCTCTCCCCTTTCCCCAGATATAGGAAAAAAATAGATTGGAAACAATGCTCTTATCCATTTTTCAGTATTTCTTGATCCTCTTTTTCTTAATCAAATATATTATCAAAATAGAACAAAAAAGAAAAATGAAGTGAATAATACATGTTTATAAATTTAACTTTAACAAATTTTTTCTTGTATTAAAGCTTGTGTACATTTAAGATCTATGTAGATGTTGATCATTGAAATTACCCCTTTTTAGAGATATTTAATTATATTAATAGTTTATTGATATCTCATAAGAATTTGGAAATTGATTTTTATCAAAAATATACTAAATTTTGCATCTAGATTCCAATATATTTTGTGTGATATCACATAGATAATTTTTCAAAATTCTCTCTGTATTTATTTTTTTTTACATTTTACTAATATCATTTTATGATACAGTTCCATATTCCCTTTTCCTCATCCCAATTCCCTCCCCCCCACCTAGATTCTCTATATCATTATTAACATATAGTTTTTTGTACTCAGTCATATGTCCATCATTGTGGGCATGGACAATGGCAGAGAATCCTGAATCCTCTTGTCAAGAGATAGTAAACAGTTTCATTGTAAGTCCAACTTTGTCTGGAAGCAGAAATGCATGCCACACTACATCCTCACATCTGGATGTTAGTTTCCATTTCACAGCTACTGTATATCCCCTTAAATGAAAAGTCATGATGCAAAATCAACAATAGAAAGAAAAAATAGGAATTTACAATGCCATGAAGTTAAATGACATGTTACTAGATATGACAGTCTCCATTACACAGCTACTATACATCCCCTTAAATGAAGAGCCACAAAACAAAATCAACATCAGGGGGAGAAAAAAGAAATTAACAACACCAGGAAGTTAAACAACATGGTATTAAATAACTAATGTGTAGCTGAAGAAATGAATATCAAGAACCTTCTTGAAGAAAATGATGCCACTGTATGATTTATGAGTCATTGAATGATTTAATCAGAAGAAAGAGTTTTGAAAAGATGAAACCAACACAAAACAACAAAACCCATGTGATAAAGTTTCCGTTGATCTTTGATGAAATGTGTCTCCTACAGACAATAAACAGATTGTTTTTGTTTTTTAATCCAGTCTACTAATCTATGATGTTTGATTGAGCTTAAGCCATTTACATTCAGAGTTTAATATATACGGGTGATACTTTTTCCTGTCATTGGTTTAGTCTTCTGAGGTCATATTACTGGGATGTTCTTCCCGTTTGCTTTTGGTTTTGGTGGGTTCTATTCCTCTGTCAGGAGAACATCTTGAAGTATCATTTGTAGGGCAGGTTTGAAAGTGGCAAATTCTTTTAACTTTTCTTTACTCTGGAAGAATTTTATTTCATTTTCAAAGACAAAAGAAAGCTTTGCTGGATATGTTATCCTAGGCCGACAATTTTTTATTTTAGAATCTAGAATATGTCATTCCATTCTCTTCTTGCCTGTAGAGTTTCCTGTGAGAGATCTCCTGTGAGCCTAATTGGCATTCCTTTCTATGTCAATTCATTTTTTTTTCACGTGCACATTTGAGGAACTTTTCCTTATGTTCAATTGAAGAGAGCTTGATAATCATGTGTCTTGGTGAAGATCACTTTTGATCAAGCCTCTTGGGAGTTCTGTGCCCCTCCTGGAAATTGTTTCCCAATTCTTTCTCTGTGGGGAGCTATAGAGAGCCTGCAGCTCACACCCTAGACAGATGGGCACCGAACTGCTGCTTCCTGCTGTGGTAGAAAAAACAAGTCTCAGGAACTCTTCTGTGATTGGCTCAGGGGTGCGTGGATGGCGCGTGGACAGCGCGTGATCTGTGTGATGATTGGCCTGCCCGCTGCGTGCACAGGTGACCTTTACGTTGATTGGCCGGGTTACCCAATATATAAGGGAGCCAGAGAACCGGGGAGGGGGGAGAGAGAGCGTGCCTCGAAGAGAGAGAGAGAGGGAGAGAGCGAGCCTCGCCAAGATGTAGCTGCTGCGCGCCTTGCAATGTGGCTGCATGGCGGCGCCTCACGGGGGCCGCTGTGCAGCCGCTGTGCACCGGTTTTTCTGTGCCATCTCTACAATAAAGGTTCCACAAAGACAACGAGTGTCTGGGTTTGACTTGCCGGCCAATGGACCCCGACATTTCTCCAGATTAATGAAATTTTCCTTGATAATTTCATTAAATACATTTGCAAACTCAGCTTCTCTTTCTGCACCATTACTTCCATAACTCTAATATTTGGCTTCTTAATTGTGTCTTTCAATTCTTGAATACTTTTTTGGCCTGATCCAGTTCTGCTTCCAGCTTTTTGTTTGTTTCCCCCTGATGACAGGAAACATTTTCCAATTCTGAGATTCTCTCTTCTGCTTGCTTCATTCTATTTTGGAGACTCCCCACTGTACTTTTAATTTTTCTCTACTGTGTCTTTAATTTCTGATATATCAGCTTTGATTTGCTTTATTGCTTCCTTAAATTCTTTGAATTCTTGCAGGAGCTTCTCATTATTGATGAGAAGCTGTAAAATGAGTCTTAGGGATTCTGTGTCACCCATTTTCTCAATGTCTTCCTCAGTTAACTCTGAGTTTGCTCCTTTGCAGGGGAGTTTTCAGTAATATTCATTGTGCCTTTGTCTCTTTTGCTCTTGGTCATCATACTTCTGGTTAGCAGAATCTTCTTCTTGGGGCAGGTTTCTAAGCTGTGCCATGCACAGGTCTACAATGCAATTTTACTTATTGTAGTTGGTACACAACATTTTGCTTGCAGTCACTTGTGCCACTCCCTCCAGCAAGTTCCAGGTCTGGGTTCTTATGTTAGATTTCCACTGTGGTCTCCACAGCCCCAGCTCTTGGCTCACCACTCTCCACCTCCTGTGATATCGTGCTGAAGCTGCATTGTTGTCTCAGCAACCTTTCTCCCACTTCTGGTTAGAGCAGGTCCTAGGATTAGAGAGACACTAGATGTCCCATATAATTAGGTTGTTGTTGGTGCTGATCTTTTCAGAACCTGTTGGACCGTGGGTGCCACACTAAGCTATTTTGACCCGTACAATGCCACAATTGGCATTATCTTCCTGTGTGACCAGTGCAATCCCCAGAACTTAGCGGGGGTCTCATGAGTTCAGTCCATGTGCAGTTCACTGTTGCTCCCTACAGTCCCAAAGTTATTGCTACGGTGCGCAAAATGGTGCCTGACATACCACCACTACAGTTCTTGATCTACTGGCTGTAAGATCCAATGGCTACCCAGACCTGCTCCGGGTGGAACCTGTAGAATGCCACCTTGTTGCAGTTCACTGAGTCAGAAATGAGCTCACTCCCAGCTCAGCGTATGCTCAACCTTTCCCTTGCCCCTTCCTCCTTATGCAAAATGGCACCCAATTCAGCTCTAGTGGCCTGACTGGGCTATGAAATCCACCCTGTTCTCGCACTGCCCATCTGAGATCTGCAGCTGTGTCTTGGCTCCTGGTCAAATCAAATTGACCAGCAGGATGAACAGTTCTTTGTCTGGGTTCACCTCCCAAGTTCCCAGTGGAAGTCCCTTCCCACCTGGTTGCTGGTGGAGTTCTGGCTGCTGATGGAGTTCAGATTGCCGTTAGCTGAATGCCGCTGGAGTGTCAGTCACTGCAACACCACACTGCTGTGCTCACTGCTTTCCTCTGTCTGTCAGTCTCCAGGTACCTCTCTGCTGTTGTTCTGTCCTCTCCTATTTCCTGAAATATGTCCTCTCAGCTTCATCCTGATGAAATGTTTTTCTGTCCATTTAAACGTGTTCTTACTTTATTCTGCCATCTTGATTCTCCAAAATTCTGTCTGTACTTATTTTTATACTCATATGCTGAATACTGTCTAATTTTAGATTGGATTTAATTGATATATATTTAAGTCTTGGATTATTGTTATTAA